AAGACAAGGTAATCATAGTGCTCACCTCATTTATTTCTTGTCTCACATTACCTGTCCTTCATTAGCTGTAAAGAGAGAGCCTTGGTGGACAAGGCATTTTTAAAATTATTAAGGTTATCAAAAGAGTTTTAAAATACCATTACTAATCTATGACCCTCTAAAAAAAGGAAGGTGGCAACAGGTAGAAAATAAGCCACCCTCGACAGTGTGGCTCAGTGGACAGCACATCAGCACTTGCACCAAAGGGTCGCAGATTTGATTCCTGTCAAGGGCACATACCTGGGTTGCAGGTTTGATCCTTGGTCCTCGTTGGGGTGAGTGTGGTAGGCAACCAAATGATGTGTCTCTCTCACATACATGTTTTTCACTCCCCCCATCCCTCTCACTTCCACTCTCTCTCTAAAAAAAAAAAAAAAAAAAAAAAAATTTTATATATATACACACACACACACACACACACACACACACACACACACTTGGGTGAGGATTAAAAAAAGAGAAAATAAAAGCCAACTGTATTTGGTTTTAGCTAAATATTGACATTTTGAAAATTTATATGAAGCACAATGGATTTGATTGGGGGAGAGGGCGGATTGGGGAGAGGTGAGAAAGACAAAACAATCCTGTATGTACCCTGGATAAACAGACTTTACACTTCATTGCATTTTAGAAATAAAATGTTTCTTTTTTCCCAGGAGAACTGAGGATAGTTCATTATTACTAAAGTATTCAAGGAGAAGAATGATTAGAGATGAGCTTAAAGCTCACAATACTATACTTGCTTTTTATAATAAAATATAGTAACATTTTTATTTCTAAATAAATTTATTAAATTTCATCACTCTACAGATATTTCCAGTCTATTAAAAATGTTAAGTCTCATTTTGGCATTTAACCTACCTGATATTTGTTAAAGTGGTACATTATTTGCATTCTCCGGATCTGCACTATCTGTAAATACAACTTTATCCAAATGAAAGCTCTGGGTAAACCTTGAGGCATATTATTAAAAATCTATTTATCACCAGGCTTCCTGAAACTGGTTCAACAAAATACCAAATATATCTAACTGCCCTATCTCCAATATTTATTATTCTATAATCCATATTATGACAGACTGTCTTAAATATATTATACACCCACTGTTTATTGGTCTGCCAAAATAAGCACTATGTATCTGTTGAAATAAATTCATATGAACACTAATCACACCAAAATTAAACATACATGACTGGCAGCCACATAGCAGCTTATAATTTTACCACTTTCTTTTCTGGGTAGGAAAAAATGAGTTCTAACATATCTATACTAAGTTCCAGTCAAACTTTAACTTTTCTGGTTTGTAGAATTAAATTTGATGTTATTCTAGGAAGACAACACAGTTATCTCATTTAGATACAAAATCAGTGAATATAACCAAACTATGTTAGAACCATGGAATTAGAATCAAAATAGACTTCTGGTATAATTAATAGAACACGTTTACTTTACATATAAAGACCCCAAGATTCATGAAATTTAAGTAATACTGCCCAGGTCACATGAAAAGACCCTAAGGTTCTCTTTTTCTGTTATTTCTTGGATATTTATTTATTAATTTAATTTATTTATTTTTAAATTGCTTCATTGATTAAGGCATTACATTTTTGTCCTCATCCCCCCATTACCTTCCCACCAACCCTCCACTCATGCCCTCACCCCCCTGCTGTATTTTTTGGATTTTAAAAGTATACAAATTAGACAAAAGCTCTATATATAAATGAGCAAAAAATTAAAAAAAAAATATATGCATTATTTTTCACTCATTTAGAATTAAAGTATATTCTTGGTAAAATAAAAGGCTGCAAAAGCTCAAATACAAATCCATTCATCACCATCAAATATAACATACAAATATTAGCAAAAATAATAGTAATAAAGAGATTTAATACAAATTATAACATACAAACATTTACTCATAACTTATTTAGATTCACACTTTGAAGAGCTAGTACTTAACTTAACGAGACATTTATTTTAAAGTAGGTGTCTCTTACCTTAATCCATGAGAATTTCAGAGGAAAACATTATTTTACTAGTCAGAAAACAAACTAGTTTATGTCAAGGGCTCAGGATGGGGAGAAGGGTTGACTGAAAGGGGGGGTAGTGATGAAAGTGGTTTTTATCTTGACTGTGGTCATGGGTACATGTCAGGTTTTTGTGCATTTGCAAAAGCTCATAGAAATGTACAGTAAAAAGAGTGAATTTTACTATATGTAAATTATAAACTTCAATAACCTACCCTATAAAAACAATTTTTTTACTATTTAAAAAATTAACCTATACTGAAAGAAATATTGAAAATACTGAATTAGCGTAACAAAATTAGGCAATTCTATTGTATAATTTTCAAATATATGTATGTAAATGTTTTGGTTTTTATTTACATAATTTCTAAACTTATACATAAATCAGAAACCAAAAACACAGGCACTTAAAAAAAGAAAAAAGAGTAACTCACTGTCTCATTTCCAAAAAGTATGTCAACGTAAGGCATAACTTTCATCAATGCTTCCTTGTAGAACTGACTAATAAATGGTGCAGACAGGTTCAAAGTGAAAATTCTGTTGTTGGCAGAAGCATGCTGAGCCACTTTTATCACCGACTCTGGTGAAACGGTAAGAAAAAAGCCCTGGGAAAAGAAAAAAAAGAAGGAAAAATTAGAAATTCAATCTCCCGAGTCACTCTCAGTGAGAATTAAAAAACAAAACAAAACCTATACAAAATACAATATATAATACACACTTTAAACTCCTAATATATAAAAAGCCAGGGGCTGCCACGAGTGAAACCGGGTGGATGACCAAACAGGCTGCACGGGGAGAGCAGGGTGGTTAGTGAGGACAACCAAACAGCTAAATATAGTCTAGTGGGCCAACCAGACCAGCAGGGGAGCATTTGGGGGCGCCCAGGCTAGTGGGGAGAGACCAGGCTGGCCCGCACTGGGGGCAGCTGGGGGGTAACAAGGCCAGTGGGAGGGCATTTGGGGGTGACCAGGTTAGCGGGGGATGGGGACAGTGAGGGGCGATCAGGCGATTGGGGGGCAGTTAAGGGCGACCAGGCCAGTGGGGCCGGGGGGGGGGGGGCAGTTAGGGGCAACCAGGTCAGCAGAAGGGGGCAGTTGGGGGTGACCAGGCTGGCAGAGGGGGGCAGTAAGGGGCGACCGGGAAGGCAGGCAGGTGAGCAGTTAGGAGCCAGCAGTCCTGGATTATGGGAGGGATGTCCAACTACTGGTTTAGGCCCGATCCCTGGGATCAGGCTTAAACTGGCAGTTGACATCCCCAGAGGGGTCCCGGATTGGAGAGGGTGTCAGCTGGACTGAGGGGACCCCTCCCTAACCCCTTGCGCACACAAATATCATGCACCAGGCCTTTAGTTATAAAAGGCAAGGAAGAAAACAGCAACATTTGATCAGGAGAAAAGTTTTATCATATGAGTACTATATGTTTGATATGTGCCATTATGTCAGAGTATAACATTATTTATTTCATATTAGATCTGTATACTCAACACTAAAAGAATTCTGGAAAGCTACATAAGGAAAAATATTTGAAAGGTCTCATTCAGACAATCATTACATTTAAATCAGAGAAATAGTAATGACGGCAGATTGGATCCCTCAAGCTTCTTAGTGACACTTCGCATTCTGGTAAAAGTAACATATTTATTTAAAAATTAAATTAGTTTACTAAGATCATAGTTTGTTACCTTATGAATATCTAAACCAATTTTTTAAAGGAAGATGTGAATTAAAAAATTTTTAATTAAAATTTCATATCAGGAAAGCTATTATTTTAAAATGCTACATGTCTGACACATTAGTAAAAGTGTTTAAAATATATCTATTCATTTTAGATGAAGAAAGCATAAGCAAAGGCATGGATGCTTCTGCAGGAGATTGGTTTGAATGGGGAACAAGTGCGTGGAGGGATAAATAACGGGCAATAGATGATACAGCTGGAGAGGCCAGCGAGGTGAACACCACAAAGGGCCCAGAGGGGCAGATCAGGAAGGAGTCTGTGAAATGGGTGGGAAAGGATGGTAAAGTCTCCCTTAAAAAAATGGAATAACAAACTTGTAAGAAAATTTAAAGAAATGTTAACATAGACAGCAACAATTTAGCAACAGTCAATCAAAGCTACATGTAGTTCTGCAAAGGGTAATCATCTTGGAAATATTCTGGACTTCCAATTGTTTAAGATGTAAGGGACAAAGGAAAAGTCAGATGTTTGAGATTTTGAATACGGTTCTACCATAAATAGGCATAAAAACGTCCAGAATAAGACCTGGCTTGGATGGAAATAGAGTTCAGTTGTATTCATACTCTCTTTGGTGGTGTTGAGAGACCCCATAATGTATATGAGGAAGTTGGGCTCAGGAGAAAGGCTCTGGGAGAAGGAAATAGTAAAAGCGGGTTGTCTTTACCAAGGAAGAGAATGGAGAAAAAGAAGAGGACAAAGGGCAGAATGAAGAACAAAAATTAGGGGATAGAAGAAAGAAAATAATAAAGGAGAGAACAAGAGGACAGTAAAGGGAGAAAAAGGAGACAGATGACGACAGGAAAAGTGATGAAAGAGAAATCAAACAAGGGAAACCACTAGAAGAGTTAAAGATATGCAATGCTATTAATGGGCGCAGAAAGGAAGGACTGAGTAAAAGCCACTGGATTTGATGGTTAGGAGAATGTACTTATGCTAGGAAGGAAAAAAGAGATATTTGTTAAAGAAGGAATGAGAAAGTAAAGAGTAAGGCTTATAAATTATTTTTGGGAGATTTATTGGTGAACAATATATAATCACCTGAAATTTACTGAATTGTTGTGTTCCACATACTATACTAAAACCTTTATGTATATTAACTCAGTTATCATATTTTTCCTTTCATCAAATCTACGAGGTGGATTCTATTACTATTCTCATCTTATGAATAAAGAAGGCAAGATAGGAAAGTTAAGGAATGTCCCTCAGGTCATAGCTAATATGTGATGGAGCTTGGGTGGATTCAAATGACTAAGAAGATAATGCACCTATTTTTAATAGACAACAGAGAAGAGCAGAAATATGTTGTTAGTGGTGGTAGGGGGTAGGAGAGTTATTTTTATAAAATAAACAAAATAAAGTTTGAGCATTTTTGCTCTTCAATGAAAAAGACATAGTGGAGAAAAAGAATGAAGAAGCAAGAAAGGGAGAATAAGTAGAGCAAGAACCCAGAGGAAGGGAGGGCAATGGGAACCAGCAGGGGAGAAGAACTGCTTATAAACTGAAGAGTAACCTAGAAAATGTGAAGGAAACTTATTTTAAAAATCACCAACAAAGCTACTGAAATATTCATTTACAACTAAGGGACTAAGCTCTTCTTGCATGCTAACTTTAGAAAGTTTAAAAAGGAAAAAGAAAAGATGTTTTTCTTTTTTGTATTTTATTTTTAAAATCTTTATTGTTGAAAGTAATACCTGAGTCCTCCTTTTGCCCCCATTAACCTCTTCCAGTCTGCTCTCACCCCGCTTCTCCCAGGCTCTCACCACCCCATTGTCTGTGTCCACAGGTTATGCATATATGCACACAAGTTAATTGGTTAATCTCTTCCCACCCACCCTCCCTGCCTTCCCTCTGAGGTTCAACAGTCTGTTCATATTTCCATGTCTCTGGGTCTATTTCTCATCATCAGTTTATTTGGTTCAATAGATTCCACATATGAGTGAGATCATATGATATTTATCTCTCTGACTGGCTTATTTCGCTCAGCATAATACTCTCCAGGGCAATCCATGCCATTGCAAATGGTAAGAGTTCTTTCTTTTTTATTGCCGTGTAGTATTCCATTGTATAAATGTTACCATCGTTTTTTATCCACTCATCTGCTGCTGGCACTTAAGCTGTTTCCAAGTCTTAGCTACTGTAAATTGCACTAGGAATATAGGGGTGCATACATTCTTTCTGATGAGTGTTTCAGGTTTCTTAGGATATATTCCTAGAAATGAGATCACTGGATCAAATGGCAGTTCCATTTTTAATATTTTGAGGAAACTCCATACTTTTTTCTAAACTAGATGCATCAGTCTGCATTCCCACCAGCAGTGTACTAGGGTTCCCTTTTCACCACGACCTCGCCAACACGTGTCATTTATTGATTTGTTGATGAAAGCCATTCTGACAGGTGTGAGGTTATATCTCATTATCATTTTGATCTGCATCTCTCAGATGATTAGTGAATTTGAGCATTTTTTCATATGTCTCTTGGCTTCTGTATGTTCACTTTGGATAAGTATAAATTTAGGTCCTTTGCTCATTTTTTTTTAAATTGGATTGCTTATCTTCCTTTTGCTAAGTTGTATGAGTTCCCTAATTTTTTTTGGAGATTAACCCCTTATTGGGTCAATCATTGGCAAATATGTTCTCCCATGTAGTGGGCTCTCTTGTCATTTTGTTGATGTGTTGTTATTTGTTTTGTGTTTTGTGTGTGGTTTTTTTCAGTGCAGAGGCTTTTTATTTTAATGCAGTCTCATTTGTTTATATTCGCCTTAGTTTCCATTGCCCTAGAAGTATCCGTAAACTTGTTGATATGATGAGAGATGTCTGAGAATTTTCTTCCAGGACTTTTATGGTTTCACATCTTATGGTAAATCTTTTATCCAATTTAAGTTTATTCTTGTGAATGGTATAAATTGGTGGTCTAGTTTCATTGTTTTGTATACCTAATTTCCCCAGCACCATTGAGGAGACTGTCTCTGCTCCTATGTATGCTCTTGCCCCCAATATTTGCTCTTTGTTAAATATTAATTGAGCATAGTGACTTGAGTTGATTTCAGGGTTCTCTGTTCTGTTCCATTGATCTATATGCATGTTCTTGTGCCAATACCAGGTTGTTTTGAGCACAGTGGCTTTGTAATATAATTTGATATCTGGTATTGTGATTCCTTCAACTTTGTTTTTCTTTCTCAAGATTGCTGCAGCTACTGGGGTTCTTTTTAAAAATTCCATGTATATTTTTGGAGTGTTTGTTCTAGGTCTGTGAACTATGCCATTGGTATTTTAATAGGGATTGCATTGAATCTGTAGATTGCTGTGGGTAATATGGACATTTTAACAATGTTGATTCTATCAATCCATGAACATGGCACATTCTTCCACTTGTTTATATCTCCCTCTATCTCTTTTTTTCAACATCATGTAATTTTCAGAGTACAGGTCTTTTACCACCTTGGTTAAGTTTATTCCTAGGTATCTTAATTTTTTTGTTGCATTGGAAAATGGGATTTTTTAAAAAGTGTTTCTCTTTCTGAGAGTACACTATTCTATTGGTGTATAAAAAGGCTATGGATTTTTGGATGTAAATTTTGTATCCTGCTACATTTACAAATTCATTTATTAAGACTACTAGTTTTTTTTTGTTGTTGTTGTTTTTTTTAATAGAATCTTAGGGTTTTCTATGTCATCTAAGAATAATGAGAGTTTACTTCTTCCTTTCCAATATGGATGCCTTTTATTACTTCTTCTTGTCTAATTGCTATGGCCGGGACTTCCAGAACTATGTTGAACAAGAGTGGTGAAAGAGGGCATTATAGAAAGAGTTTGAAAGTGTTCTTTCCTGGTAAATTTTTTGGAATAGTTTGAGGAGAATATTCAAGTTCTT